ATATATATATATATATATATACACCCTCTAAGTTAATAATCGTTGTAATTGAAGCCTAATTAAAAATTTAAAAATATATTGTACGCTATGTATTTAAAAATATAAAATACCTACTATATATTATTCAATTATTTACTATTCTACTACAGTTAATTCGAATGATTGACGCTTATAAGTTATAACAGTTTTGTTAATAAACAAGTATAATAACGATCCATTATATGAAAATTGATGTTATATATATATGTAGGTACGAACCTAAACATATTATATTCAACACACACATTACACATATATAGATTATATTATAGCCTATAGGTATTTTAATAGGCAGTATAAGTAGATATATAAGAAATATTTATAAGAATAAATGATAAACATCGGCACATCATCACAAACACCTACCTAAGTTAAATAAGCAGGTATATACCTATACACAAAATATTTTTCAATTAAGTACCTACTATAATATACAACTATACAAGATTCAAGATTGAATTTATTTTCGCATTAATTAATTCATCCTCAGTCCGTACTTTACTACTTTCCATGCTTTCTCGCTTTGTTATTATGTCCACATTCAATCTATGTCATCATGCTGGATTCAAAATTCCGTGGTTATTATACTCAAAAAGATGTTCTTTAATTAGAAGACACCAATAAAATTATATTACCATTAATCACTAATGATAACTCTCATGCATTATATGTAGAGAATAGAGACGAGTAATATAGTAAACATATACTTAATATTAAGAAATTTGAGTTATTAGTTACCTAGATCAAACTTTAATTTTGCGTTTCCAAATTTTTTTTTTTGTTTATCATAAATAGTAATAATATTATGGTGATTGAAATATCCTTTATTTCTAACCTAGATTTATAGTAGCAGGCGATTCGCGTGCACCAATAAACATAACAGTGTATTCATTTTTATAATAATTATATAGTGTTTACAGTGATCAGTGACTATAATAATGAATGACATACCTAGATAAATGTTATGTATTTAAGGTTCTTAGTTACTGTACACTGCAGTGTAATTATTACTTATGACCAATAAATGATGATAAATATTATATTTTAATGTGTTCTGCGTTTCTGTATATATACATGCGGATAGTATAGGTACGTTTACCTGTTTAGTCGTTCCATGAGCTGATACGATTATTATATAAAATCTGATGGAGTACTGCAGTAACCATGTGTAAATAAATATCGATGACCTTGAATTGGCACCCATAACGTTGAGGACTTGGTAATAAATGTCGAATAGCGTCATTACACAGAGAGTGAATAACGACAAGCCCATGGGAATGCCGAACAAATTGTCCAACACGTAGACAGCGTCTCGAATCAACCGGTGTCTGATACGTATTATTTCTACTGCATTTGCGACAGAATGATCGTTGGACCCGTAAAAGTCAACATCGTAGACGACTCGGTGTCCAACTGCAACCGTATTTTCAATGATGCTCATCGACGTGTGCACGATTTCCCGGCCGAGACGTTCCAAGTCCCTGTTGATTTTGAAAAACTTGTTGTCCAGCGTGCGGCACTGRATTATGAAATACGTCTCTACCATGGACATGCCTATGTTTTCTAAGTACATGAACACGAAAAATATCATAACTATTACATCCGAATCATTTCTGTACAGTTTGAACAGCCTCAATATGTTGGTGGGCAGTATAACGGACAAATAYAAAACGGTCAGAAACAAATGGTACAGCGAGCGATTGCGGTGTTCAGTGACGGTCGTCGGACAGTACACCTCGTAGGCTTGGATGTTTTTCACGTAACCCGGCATCGTTGAACAGCATTTGAACAGCAACGTGGCAAAGGACAGGAAACAGGCCGCGGCTATCATTCTGGAGTATATACCTTGTACCGAGGTGAACGTAACCCTAGCGCAATTGCCGTCCAACAGGCAAAGGGCCAACGGAGACGTGACGAAATTGAAAACGCAGGTAATTAAAAGCACTATTACGTTGATCAAGGCGAATGATTTTTTGAACGAAGTCAATAAGTAAGTCATACTTTGCATTCGCAAATAACTGCAGTGGTCCAAGTTATTACCACGCGTCTAATTGTATTACATAATTCSATGTGTATAATATATATAAATATATTTGTTGATATACATCATACATATTATATCGGTGCGATTTTTTGTTTCACTTCACGTAATCAACGATTATTAGTTCAAATTCTACATAATATTATTATGTGGTTAAAAAATGTTGTTACAATATTCTACTGTAAATTATACAACAGAATATTATCTTATTACTTTAATGTGCATTGTGCACAAACACATATTATAATAARTAGGCATATAYATATACTAACTACAGTACCTAAGTGCTCATTTATCGAGTCAGTGTTATAATAGTGTTATTTATTTTGGGTATTTATCAAAAATTCAAGTAAATAATTAATAATGTTGTTCCTTTGTAGTAGATAATAATTGGTCGGTACAATAACAAAACAAACTGTTACCTACACTTTTTAAACTCACAATTAACAATGGTGCACATACTGTTATTATTATTGTAAGTTCATACAGGTTATACGTATAATAGGTAAACTCAAATGTAATTTTAAGCTTTATAGAGTCCACAATAAAATATACTTATGAAATATGAATATGTCCATCGTAATTTTTAATTTAGGTGGTTGTGTTCTAAAAATGTTCACGGTTTTTTGCCATTCGTAAATTGAGTAATTTCTGAGTGAAATTGTATTAAAACGAAGAGGTATGTGGTACCGACAGCAATCGCCTAAAATAACACAAACATTGGCGAATAATCCGTAATATATTATATGATATATATTATTATACTATATATAGGTACCCTATGTATACAATTTATTAAAAATGCTTAAAAATTGTAATGTGCCTACTATAATGCATTTATTYTATAGAAATGTAATATTTAGAGAATAAATAACAWATTTTTCTAACAGCTTAGTACCTACACCACTAAAAGATAATATTCTTGAATTCTTGATAACTTACCGAAGCGACGAGATGACCATTTAAGGTGAAACAGTCACACGCAGTTATATCAATGGATTGGTGATTCATTTGCTTCAGAAACAATTGCAACTGTAAMATTCATTAAAATAGGTATAATAATTAATATTATAGTATTATACGACATTGTATTACAATGAAYAAACAAACCTCGTATTTCGTATTGTTATTTAAATGCCGGTTATTTATTTCTGTTACAAGCACTTTAGTTTTATAGCCCTGAAAAATAAACAAATTTGTATGTTGATAGGTACCTATATTATTACATTTGAATCATATTAGCGTTGTTCTATTTTAACAAAAATAAAGTTTTTAAAATAAATTTAATCGAAAAAAAATATTTGTCAAAGTGTATAACCAATATAAATCTTTTGGGAAGTGAAAAAATAACCTATTAATACATTATTCAATATTTCAATATTACACAGAATCTATTAACTTTAAGTGGGTATCTACTCCATAATCTTATTAAGTTGTAACATTTTAAGACAATAATTGAATAAAAGTGCTTACAGTCAGATGTACTTTAAAAAAAATATCAGATTTTGTTACAGTATACTGCATAGGTAGAAGGTACTATTATAATACAAATTCTAATTAAGGTT